CCATCTGTATATTTTCGTATTCATGTTTAGTACCGTAGCGTATGGACGTTTTTCTAAATAAAATAATGATGAAAATAATTACAGTACTAAACATGAGTAGGAAAATATACCTTAGAGAAGAAATCTTACAATTGAACACTCAAGAAAAAAAATATTTACCTTAACTGTGCATAGCTTTACAGGTGAAAAACGAAAACGACGACGCTGCTTCCTCAAAAGTGGATGTGAACATTGATCCACAGGGCTAAATTTATGCAAAAAACCTGCCAAATTACTCGACATAATTACGTAACATTACACAATGGTACAAACATTAACCACAAGAGTACCATACAAGTGATGAATCGTAAAAACACTGACAGGTTATGAACACGAAAACACAATACACACGGGAAACGGTATGACAATAAGTTTCGCCATTACGTGGCGGCCTCCAAGGCACTTGGCCAAACAGGCCTGCCTTTCCTAAGAAATCCAAAGGAAACTTATGAAAACGTCTATGAATAACTATTACATCTGAAATAATCCTAAAAAAACACAGTTCGGAGCTTATCGTATAAAGAGTCTGTCAGGAGAATCAATCATATTGCTTTCAGCAGCTTATTTCCTTCCTTTGTGTTCGGTAGGATCTCTGGATTCCATGCGTGACCTCGGTTACAATCAGGTTGCCCTGATAATTAGCCGGTACCCATGTATACTCCCGGGTGGAGAGAGGCACTGGGATAGTAAAGTGTCTTAACGAAGAAAACAATACAGTGAACCAGCCAGGCCTCGAACCCAGAGTGTAGTGCGTTATCTGTTAGGTCGCCGTGGGTCCCATCAGAAAGGCGTAAAATTCATAGATCTAGAATTGCCTTTTCTTCATCCTACCTTACAATACTTGTTTTATACTTCAATTTATTTAACATCTTTAAGAGGATTAACCGATACATGACTACAAAAGGGTCAGATTTACAAAGGATACAAAATAGGCACCATTCTCCCTCCTGCAGACTCGATAAACTTGAAGTACGTGGCTGCAATTAATTGACTTCCGAATTTCGTCACATTTCCATCCGTATCTTGAGCGAGCACACCTTCAAAGAGGCAGAAAAAGGAAACAATAATAATTAAACGAACTCTCATTGTCCTTTTGACAATCTGCACTCGTGACGTAATCGATCGTTATGTTCGAGCTTATATTTACCTTAATAAGACAGTGCTCGCTGTTTATTTCTATTTTTCCTAAGAAAACATCGCGCAAAATATCGATAAGAGTGTCTTTCAGAGGCGTTTTATTCATTAATTCATAAGGCCAAATCGCAGTTCTTACTTCTGTTTTTAAAAGTCTTGGCAAGACAGCGAAACTACAGTAATAATGATAGACCGTTTCATATGACGACAACACTTTTATTGGCATACTATCATTTTTTAAAAAGTTTCCTTACTCACTTACCAATAATTGGACAACAATTGACAGCCCTGCCGTTATCTCTGTGATTTAAGGTCGGAAATAAGTTAGAAGGTAGTATTGGAGCAGGAAATGAATATAAAAAAAAAAGACCAAATGCTCGAAAACGTTAAAAGACGAAGGAGAAATTTGCGTTAAATCAAGAAAAACAAGAATTTTAAACACTGTACCTGCTTTTTCCTTTTCCGTGGTTAGAGAACGCTTTGAATGTTTCGAATTCCATGGCTAAAGAAAACTGCGCCACAATAAGCAAAAATGCAATTTTCGTTATTTTCTCTTCTTCCATATTTCTTCTTTTTGGATGTCTTAAATGAAAATCCTAATTCGCCCTCGAGCTGATAATTATATATACATTAGCGTTAACTTTAAGAGCTTATCGACACCAGGCCAAGTTATTCACCTATCAAAAAGGAATCTAAGAGGACGTCGCCTTTTCATGGCCAATCCACGTAGCGAGTACACCTGTCTCGCGGGTGTTCTGACCCTGAGTATCACGAGAGTGTAATTTTTAAGAAGTTAATTAGGATTTTACAACAGGGTAGCTTACTGATAACTAAAACACAAGATCCGGTCTTGAAAGATTAAAAAACCCGCAGGTTGTTTCTCAAGATAATATGAGGGACCGACCACGAATTTTTTCCTTTTGCGGCTGTTTCTTTTTGCTGAAAATTATTTCTTCCACAAACAAAACAGAATTGTTTAGAATAACAATATAAGGACACAATTGAAACTTTTTTTGGCAGTTGGCAAGATTTTCGTCCGTCACAGAGAAGAATAGGATTAATACTACATTGTGGGTAACAACCACAATTGTGGGTACATTTTATTGAATTTTCGGTGACTTCAACTAAGATTGTCCATTTTTTACCGAGAGGATGATTTTTACTTTGCTAGATTTGGTGTCATCTGCTGAAATTTCTCCTCTCTTCGCGATCGTTATAGCAAAGTCCCAACTGAACGCAAAGTATTCGACATGCTCTTTGCTGGTAAACCCTTGCTATCAAGTAATGGTAGTGGTGATGTTTCTGTCACGAAAGATAAAATGGGCTTGTGAACACTAATGGATATCACTGAATGATGATGTTTGCCCAGCTGAAATAGGACGTAATCTCGCTACCCTCTTTGTTGCCCTTTCAAAGTCTCAGTTACATGTTCAGGCGTTCAAATTTCGTTCTTTCGAACTTATATTAAGCAGTCGGTTTTCAAATTCTCAAGATTCTTGCCCTCTAATTACTATAATTTTCACTTCCATTAAGCAGTCATGGTCATCCTTGACTGAATCCCAACGGCCTGTTTGTATTGTTCTCCACCTGTATTGAACGGTCATTAAAGCGGAACTACTCGAATAAAACTAGGAATAATCTTTCGAGTGAAATTCAAGTCTCGTCCATCTCCCGAAATCAATGTAAGTAGTGTTTTGAGCAAGTTCTGAGCATTAAGTGGTCAATTATGGCATGATACCTTTATTCTGTGGAACGGTCGAACTGTATCGGTCACCTCGCTGTTCCCCATGGGCACACGTGACCGCTTTTACAGTTTAACCTGTCTTGAAATACAAGTTTGACTGGATAACTCGCTAAAAGGATTCTTTTCAACATAATAAGCGGTCAGATAACGAGCAATGTACTGTGAAAGTAAGGTGAGGTATTTTTATTGAGAACTTTACTGTTTTTTTTTTTATTCCTGAGAGCGATCGTAAATATTCCAATACAAACTCTAATAATTTCGCCATGACTCGTATTTCGCAAGATGGTCTTCTCACAGCTGGAGCTTAGGCCTCCTCTGGATCTACCGGCCATCGTGCCAAATAGTCAAAGCCTTGACTTGTCTCGTTGACACTTAACGATAGCCACAACTAGCTGTAGATCTTTAATAATGCAAAAACTAAGCTACACGTTTACTTGACCATGAGATCCGAGGATGTAGAAACTGGATCATTTCATGATCCAGTTGCTCTCCGAGTAGTCTGGTAAATGTATAAAATCGAGCGGAAAACCTCGACTGGCCTTGACTGGGAAATATGGAAAAACAGGCGATAATTTTTCCCAACTACCTATAGAAAGTAAATCTTCCTTTTTTTTTTCGTTTGAGAGGTGACCGTGTTCCCTTTCGACTGTCTTTGTGAATCTTTCGGTTCTTAACCTTCTAACACTAAACAAGTAGACTGGCACAATTGGCCATGTGTATTTCACCATGGTATGAAGTATAATACAAATGGCACCGAAGAATACATGGCATTTCAGTTTCACCGTAAAACTGTGATGGCAAAGCCCCACTCCCTCACATTCCCTTTAGAGAGAGGGCGATTTCCCACAATCTGAGAGAGAAAGTCCCTCGGCTGCTTCAGCCGGTTTTTGGAGTTGCTCCCATGGCCGCTCCACGCGTATTCAAATTGGGAGACCTGGTGTTTGAATTCCGCGCGCGCGAAAGCTCGTTAGCTGTCCTTACCTATGTAGCATAGCATTATGTGAATCGTATCATGTTAGTAAGGATTGACAAGGCTTTCCATGACGACCAACATATGTTTAATCACTTTGAGGAGGACAGCACTTTCAGAAACCTAGAGGGGGCTTTGTAAGCCCCTACGGTCATTCTAGCCAGTACGCTAACTTTACTTGTTTACAGCTTTTGTAAATACGTTACAACTAGATCAGCTATTGAAGAAAAATACGATGACACCCCATGGGGCGAAAGAGATAACTCTTGCAGCCTACCTCATTCAAATTGTCCTCATCATATCTTTAGATTTTCAAGTACTATCATGCATGATCAACTCCGGCTATTTACAAATGAATCTTCACTCAACGAAGTCATCCGACTTTACGATGAATGGGCAGCAATATGATTAGGAAACATGTGGTGATTATGATCAGACAGGGAACTGGTAGTGCCGTGGCCCCCAAAATATTTTTCACTCCTTGCCCACAAAAAAATTTTCAAATTTTTCACTACTTCGCCTATTGCTGTTCGTATGTTCAGCCAAGCCAATAGTCACTAGCCCCTGTATAGCCGCTAACTATGGCTTATAAATAAAGGTGTTTACTTTAAACTTGTAAAACTCCCTGAAGAAGTCTATGACAGTTAGACGAAACGCATCGAAGAATAAAGAGGTTTTACAACTACTGTTCGCTGAGTGCCGCTCACTAACTCAGTTAAAAAAAATTTCGAACGATTCCATCACTAAAATGCGACACATTGGAACGCTACACATGTTTCGCCATTTTATATTCATCGAAATTGTTGTCTGATTCAAATGAGAAATGTGACTGAAATAAACGCCATTTTGATTGAATGCGTTAACGGAATAGCTTTACACATTCTTGTTATCTGTTTTAGTACACTGTACAAACATCATTGAATAATATTCCGTGAGAGCAGGTTTAATGGTCACGGACACCAAACGACAGAAGAAAGGGTAAAATAACCACACTCAGTGCCGGCCCTCCTTTCCGGGTGGGAAAAATCATTTGAATACAAAATCATTTGAATACAAATGATTTTTTAAGAAATTAATATTCATGTTTGCGACCAGTCTTGCACGTGGTAAAAGCTTGCGAACTACAAGAAATTTCAGCGTCTTTTGCAGCTATTTTGGGGCAAGAAACAAGTCAGTTCAACGTTAGTACCTTGAATTCCGTCAGTTCATTCAAGGCAGACTTGCGTTTCTTTGAAGTTGGCGAAGCAAGGCAGTGGTTTAAGTTCGACCTCGTGGATTTATGGATGTCGTTTTATCACGAAACTCCTCGCGGTAAGTTACCAACGAATAAATTCCTTAATGTAAAGAAACACAGTTTAAGTGCTCTTGAAATTTAATAACGGAGTCAAATGTTAAAGGAAGAACATTTTGTACACTTTTAAGAGTGAGACACATCCTCACTAGTGGCCGCCATGACAGCTTTTATTGAATCACGGGACTTATAAGGAAAAATCGAAAACTTCGCAGTTTATAGTCGAGGTATCGTCCGTTCGTTTTATTTACTGGTATATCTATTTTTATCAGTGTGCTTCTTTTAATACTGTATGCAGTTAAACCTATGAACCCCTGAGAGTGATTCCAATTCTGGGCGTGTGGCAATAATCATTGTAATTTTATGCCATAGCAGCTAAACATGTCCATCTCTTGCAAAGGGATGACCTCTATCTCGCGTATCTTTATTCCACCTATCTTAACCCTTTAACCTCTACGAGTGACTAGCATCTAATTTCTCCTTACAATATCACCCCTGAATCATGCAATAAGATCATGAGAATACAGGAAATGGTCACTTACTAGAGAAGCTCAAACAAATTCTCCTAATCAGCTCCTTAGGGATTGTATAGGGAACAGTATGGAGAATATGCACACTGATATTAGGGTGGAGAGGGTTGAGGATGTGCCTCACAGTATCAGACCCGCACCTTAACTGATAGTCTTTCGAAGAACGCTATCTATCTTCCTTAATTAATCCCTTTACACCCTAACATCAGTTTGCATATTCTCTATACTGTATTCTATTCATTTCCCAAGGTGTTGACAAGGAGAATTTGTTTAACAATCAAGAGCTTCTCAGGCTGGTGATTATTTTCCTTATTCTCATGACCTTAATGTTTGATTCAGGGGTGATCTTGTAAGGAGAAATTAGATGCTGGTCACTCTTAGGGGTTAGAAGGTTAAACAAGACTATCACTGTTAGAAATGAGGGATTCAACCTAGTTTTTCCTTTTTCTTTCGATTACAAATAGTTCTCAACCGAAAAAACAGGCTCTATGCATGTAATTTTTGCAAATTCCTCATTTTTCTTCTTTGTAGGACAGTAGCAAGCGCAGGATGAAAATAAGCAGTTAAATTGAAGGAAAGAAAAAGGTTAACATCTAAAAAGGTTGGTTGTCCATTATGTGTTACAATGTCACTTATCAGAACCTGTTTGTCTGATCGATTTTCAACATCAAACCATCTATTCAGCAATTATTTTCAATCTATAGCTTACTTACGCGTATTACACGAACTGAAGAAACTCAAAGGAAGACAGCACAACAGAATAACTTCCAACAAGGTTAAAAATTTAGTTCATTAAAAAAATTTTTTTTTTTAATTTTTTTTTCTAAAGTTGTATTAATCAGAGTGAGCCCGGCAATCCCTGTTCTGTGTTATAAAGGATTTACGAACTCATTCGAATTGAAAAAAATAACATATTTTGTTTCCCTCATTCACAGTTAACGATCTGCCAATTACGTTGGGTTGGTCTGCATTAAACGATTACACCTTGATTAAACGAACGTCTGCAACTTTCAAATGTAAGACAGCAGAAGAAAACCTACAAACGAAGAAAAACAGTCATATTTCTTTTATTTTTGTTTCCTTAGATATCTCTATCACGTTTTAATTGGTTTTCAGTGGTCGTGAGACTAAGGTTGTTTTTAATAAATCAGACTACAATTTTGTCTCTTTGATATTAAAACACTGGTGTCAAAGAAATACCCAGCGCTTTGGTGCATGTTATGATCAGTCATCTTATGGTTGAAATTACTATAGCAACGGTTTAGCTGGTCGAATGCTCGTTAATTTCAAGAAAATGTTGATAGTCAGAATAAGCTCGGTTATCCACTTTGACATAGATTGCCTCGGTGAATATGCAACACGAGAAAAGCTAAGAGAGCTAAGGCTGATAATAGTCTTGTGTCCTACAAACAAACGAAATCCCAAGAATGTATTCCGACTCAAATTGTTAGCAGAATTTCTTCGTATATGTGCGATAAGCTTAAATTTCCACTAAGTATTTCATTTTTTTTAATTGAAAAAAAGAAACCTCTTAATTTAGCTTTAATCAACCAAACAATTGGAACCCGAATGTGGAAAGTCTTAATCTCTGGGGCTAATACCAATCGTAAAACAAAGATGTGGTAGATTATCGAGTTGTACCAGTGAATTTTTTACGGTAATCTTCGATTAAACTCTGTATGTTTTTGATTGGGAGCAATTAGGTGATGAGTAATAAGCTATCGATAGAAATATTAAAAAAAAAATTAATCAAGCAGGAGTTAGAATTAAGATAACCGTTTTCCAGGCTAGAAAAACACCAACAAGGTGGAAATAAAGCGATAAGAACAAGGATTGCTAAATATGGCGAGAAATGACATTGATTGCAAATTATGGTAAAACGCAGGCCTCCATTTAAGCTAAATGCCCTACTGATACCTTATTGATTCCCTTGCTACGTAGGGAATCAATAGAGAATTTATTTACTTGCGTTTATAAATGTATAAATAGCACTCCTCTAATTGTTTCTCTAGTAGAAAAGGAATCTTTTCCTTGTTTAAAAGTCTCCATCGTCCAGCTTCTTCCAACTCTTTAAACTTTTGTATATAATTCCTCTCTTCCAAGAAGCTTATATTGAAGCACAATAAGCCACCTGCAAAACGTAACAAAAAGTTATTTCGCCGAAAACAGCTGGGTATTAGAGATGTCATTTTCTTACAACTCCATTGTTGCCATGTTGATTGGTTCGACTGGACCAAGGGGCGTGGCTAAGGAGAGTTAGGAAGCCTCTTTCCCTCACCTTTTCTAAAGACAATAGTCAAACGAACGTCCTAATTCGAAAACGCGCGCACCCGAAAAATCTACACGACATGGAAAAGATTGCCTTTGATAAACCACAGCGTGGGTGTTGATTAAACAGTAGGGTAGGCAAGATAATTTTTTTTAATCAATTGAGTTGATAATATAAATCGGACACCGTTAAGAGTTTCTAAGTTGACATTACGAGCGTTGGCCCTTCGTCAGAGCGAAAGGGAAGGGCCAACGCTCGGAACGCCACCTTAGAAACTCTTTACGGTGTCCAATTTATATGGCCGGTCTACTCAGTTGATAAACGAACGTATCTTGTTATAATCCACCACCGACGCAGCACTACAGTTTCTTTAGATAAAAATCCTCGCTACACACTGGGATCACATCACTTATTTAAGATGTAGAGAAGCTACAAAGAACGAGCGGAGGAATGGGGAGGAATCTTTACCTTCCTTACCAGACTTCACCATCATTAGCATCTCGCTAAAAGCACTAGGTTGAACTTGCCCAGCACATACTGCAGAGCTGCATGTCAATGCATCATACTCCGCGGTCTCGATACCGTTTATCTGCTGATCATTTACGGCAGTGCAGATGAGTTTGGTGTAAACTTTCTTGTTTTTAGCTCTGTTTAGCATTTCTTGTGACATGTCAAGGGCGTCAATATAAGTATATCCAAGTTTGTTTAATTCTAAACCCAACAGTCCTGTTCCAGCCGCCACGTCAAGAACTTTAAAACTTTTCTTGTCGACATCTGGAAACAGATTGCACACTGTAGCGTCGAAGTGCCTGACAAACGGCCGAGGTACATTGTATTCGGGTTCCTGCATGATCTGAATGAAATAAAACAAAAAAAGTAATGTGACGCTAGCGACAGGTTTTTTTTTTTATTGTACCACCAGTTCCCTGTCTAATGATCAACGCTCCGTGTTACCTGATCATATTGTTCTGCCCATTCGTCGAACAGTCGGATGACTTCGTTGGGCGAAGATTCATTTGTAAATAGCCAGAGTTGATCATGATAGTACTTGAAAATCTAAAGATAAGATGATAACAATTTTAATGAGGTAGGCTGCGAGGGTCATCTCTTTTCGCCCTATGGGGTCTCACGATATTCGTAACGTATTTTACAACTGTAGTTGTAATGTATTTACACAACTGTAAACTAGTAAAATTAGTGTACAGACTAGAAAGACCATAGGGGCTTGCAAAGCTCTCTCTTGGTTTGTGACCTCCTCAAAGTAAACAGATGTTGGTCGTCATGGAAAGCCTTCTCAGTCCTTACTAACATGATACGATTCTAATCATGCCATGCTACATAGGTGAGGGCAGCTAGCAGGATTTTGCGCGCTGAATTCAAACACAAGGTCCCCCAATTTGAATACGAGCGGAGCAGCTGCGGGAGTAATACCAAGAACCTGGTGACTCAGTGAAGTGGCCGAGGGAATTTCTCTCTCTCTCTCTAGATTAAGGAAAATCGCCCTCTCTCTAAGGGAAATGTCAGGGAGTGGGGCTTTGCCATTATAGCTTTACGGTGAAACTGAAATGCCATGTATTCTTCTGTTCCACTTGTATTATACTCTATGGTGAAATACACATGGACAATTGTACCACTCCACTTGTTTAATTTTGGAATGTTAAGAACCCAGAGATTCACAGAAAACAGTCCAAAAGGAACACGGTCACCTCTCAAACGGGAAAAAAAAAAGATTTACTTCCTATAGGCAGTTGGGAAAAAAGAAAAAAACTCCCACAAGTGATCAAGACAGAATTTCTCCTTTCAATATCAATACAATATCAAGCAGAAAAGTGACGAGAAGAAAGTTAAACAACAATTTGGGGATTAAAAGTTGATCCAACACCAAATTCTCAGAACTAACATTATAAGAATTGTATGACAGATAGTAAAGAGAATTACTTATGAAAATTTGAAAGTGAAAGGTTTAACAAGAGACATAAAACTGAATATTCTCATTTGAGTGGTTGTCATCACCAACAATGCAAGATTCTAAATTAACCCTTTAACTCCCAAAAGTGATTAACATGAAAATTCTCCCTATAATATCCATACATTATTCAGCAAACAGGAAATGAGAATATACAAACTTTTCAGGTTAAAGCTGCTATTTTGATCAAACACCAAGTTCTCATAACTAATTTACAAGGAAATGTGTAGGGGCGAGATTTAACAATCAGATCTTGGAAAGAGTATCAGGTTTAGAAATGTGTTAGTGTCAACGGCTAAGTGATTTTATGATCTGCCAATGAGAGGAAAAGGTATTCTTGAGGAATTCGGTGAATATCATTCCTGACTACCGGGCATTCAGGGACCGGTTGGTTACGTCTAGATAAAATTAACCAATTCACCCCTCTCCCCCACCCCCTCCCCCACCTTATAGGCTCTGTAGTGGGCTAATGATCCTCCTCATGGGATGTCAGTTTCCCTTAGTCCCCCCTTTTAGACTTTATAGGCAATCATGTGACTCCCCCAACCCCCCAAAAAATCCCTAACTCCACCCCTCCTCCTCGAAGGGGACGAATAGTGACTGGTCCCTCAGTTTATTTGAGACCGTGCCCCACTGCGAAAAACATCAAATAGACTTGTCACGCATTCCAAAGTAGACCATTCACCGCGCTATTGGATTTGATACTGGATCATTTCATCGACGTAAGACTATTCCATATCAGAATATATGTACTCATAACACCAAACCACCCCTCTAATCCGTCAGCGCCGTAACAGTCGTTTGCTATTTTCTGCGTCATTTTATACATTACGCAACGAAATCATGTTCACTGTCACGCAAGCATACAACTGGTGACGATCTCGCTGACATTCTTTCAAAGCTGGTTCACGCAATGCTGTTTCATAGTACAGACGAAAAAGCCTCCTCTTTTATCAAGTGGCTATTATACCTGGAGGCCATAGCTATTAAAATTAGGTATAAAACTTTACGGCCGACTGGCTACATAACATAAAATTCGTTTGTAGTATCCCAGGGTCATGCTCAGTTAATCTGGGTGTTATCTTTGTAATGTGCGTGACATTTCAGCAATATCATACCGGCAAAATTATTATCATACCGGACGACAGCGAAAACGCCGGTAATCCTCACCGATCGCCTAGGCTTCTTTCGTCAAAAGAGAACCAGGCTTTGCACGGGTGTTTTTTAATTGACCTTGGGGAGAGCTTGAATGATTGTGACTGATGTAATCAAAGGGGTATAGATGTCGAATTTTTGGCTGAGGTAAATATTTCATCTGAAGCAACTGGCTTGCATCGATTCAGTTCGACACGAATCGACTAATTAAACCCCAGATTCACTCTTCAAGAACAAAGGGAAAAAATGGGCTTTCTTACCTTACTCGCCATTTATATTTGATCTTACTTCATAACACCACGTTTAACCAGAGCAACGATAACCTGATATTGATTTCACCGTCAGGTTTATTTCAGGGATGGGAGGGTGAAGAGTAAAATATAACAGGAGACGGGTGGGGGTAAGGCATCTTGATTTGGATATCATCCTTTTTCGGTGATGTCAATTTCACGAATTAACCACAATTCTCGCATGTCTATCCTTTTAATGACTATTTGTGTTAGAATTTTTGGCGTAATTTCTGCTATTATAGCTTTAAGAGATTGACATCAATTATTTTCAACACAAAAATTAGCGAAAGAAATGTACGATGTTTCCACATCGTCGGATCTCAAAGTCAAGTAAATGTGTAGCTATCGTTAAGTGCCAACGAGACAAGTCAAGGCTTTGACCGTTTGGCACGCTGGCCGGTAGATCCACAGATGGCCCAAGCTTCAGCTGTGAGAAGACCATCTTGCGAAATACGAGTCATGGCGAAATTTTAAGAGTTTTTATGGGAATATTTAAGACTGCTCTTAGGAATAAAAAAATACAGTCAAATTCTCAATGAAAATACCTCACCTTACTTTCACAGTGCGTTGCTTGTTATCTGACAGCTTTCTATGTTGAAAATAACCAATTTTAGCGAGTTCTCCATTTCAAGGTTCACCGCATAAGAGAAGCCCAAGGCGGCACGCGCCCGATCCGAGAGGCGAAAAATCCAAGCTCCAAATGACTGGGCGGCCACAAATCCAATAATTTGTTGGATCAATTGTAAGAAAGAGAGGAAAGAGAGAAGAAAGTTGTGATCGATTCACTACATATTTAGTAGAAAAGTCGAGTAGCAATTTCTGCTTAAGCTTTTAAAAAATACAGTCGAACTTGTATTTTAATACAGGTTAAACTGTACTAGAGCACGTGCACCCACGGGGAATGGCGGGATGACTGATACAGTTCACAGAATAAAGGTATTGTTAAAAACGATAAAAACGACATATTATGCCATAATTGACCACTTAATGCTCATGAACTCGCTCAAAAATACTAAACGAGGATTAAATTTTACTCGAAAGATTCTTCCTAGTTTCGAATTTATTCGAGTAGTTCCGCTTTAATGACCGTTCAATACAGGTGGAGAACGATACAAGCAGGCCGTTGGGACTCAGTCAAGGGTGACTACGACCACTTAATCCTTTAACTCCCATGAGTGACCAAGACAGAATTTCTCCTTACAATATCTATACAATATTAAGCAAATAAGTGATGAGAAGAAAGAAAAAGATCAATTTGGGGCTAAGTAGTCGATCCAATGCTAAATTCTCTGAACTAATATTATAAGAGTTGTATGGTTGATAATAAGAGGAATTACAAATTTGATCTGGGAGTTAAAGGGTTGATAAGAATGAAAATTACAGTAATTAGAGGGGAAGAATCTCGAGAATTTGAAAACCGACTGCCTTACATAGGGTGACTGCTTAATACAAGTTCGACCGTTCAAAATTTGAACGTGAGAAGATGTAACTGAGATTTTGAAAGGGCAACAAAGAGTGCAGAGAGATTACGTCCTCTTTCAGCCGGGCAAACATCATCATTAAATGATGTTCGTTAGTATTCATAAGCCCATTTTATCTTTCGTGACAGAAACATCACGACTATCATTACTTGATAGTAAGGGTTAATCAACCATGAACAAGTCGAATACTCTGCGTTCAGTTGGAACTTTGCTATATTGTTCTCAAACTCATTAGTAATTCATGCTGAGAAAACAAAGGAAATTACAACCGTGAAGGAGGTTTGGATATGTGATCTTAATTATCATAAAATCTGGTGACTTTTTGCTTTGATTTTCTCCGAGAATTATTAATGGTTTGAGAAGCTATATCAAACATTCGAAAGGGTGTTTCATCCGATATCCAAACACCTTGAAGTTGGTTAAAAAAAAACTCGGCTGCGCCTCGTTTTCTCAACCACTTCTCGGTGTTTGGATATCGGATGAAACACTCTTCCTCGTGTTTGATATATTACGTCTTTAACTACGGGAAGCGAGGAAAATTTCAGAAGATAATACCAAATCTGGCAAAGTAAAAATTTCCCTCTCAGTATAAATTGTATAATCCTAATTAAAGTCGATGAAAATTCAAGAAAATGCAGTATGAACCTAATTCTTTTCTGTAACGGAAGAAAATCTTGCCAGCCGAAAAAAAAAAAAGTTCCAATTGTTCCCCGATATTGTTATTCTTGACAATTTTGTTTTGTTCGTAAAAGAAATAATTTTCAGCAGAAAGAAACATTCGCAAAAATAAAAATTCGTGATCGGTCCCTCATATTATCTTGAGAACCAACAGTTTGTGATGTGCAACCTGCAGGTCTTTTAATTTCTCAAGACCAGATCTCGTGTTTTAGTCATTAAGAAACTGCCCTGTTGTAAAATCATAAATAACTTGATAAAAATGACACTCTTGTGATACTCGGGGTCAGAACACCCGCGAGACAGGTGTACTCGCTACGCGAATTGGCCATAAAAAGGCGACGTTCTCTTGGATCTCTTTTTAATAGGTGTGCCACCAAATGGGGTTAAGAAGTTGGCCTGGGGTCAGTAAGCTAACGCCAAACTAAATACTGACCACCTCGAAGGCGAATTAGGATTTTGATTAAAGACAGTCAGAAAGAAGGAAATATGAAAGAAGAAAAAATAACGAAAATTGCATTTTTGCTTATGGTGGCGCAGATTTCTTTAGCCGTGGAATTCGAAACATTCGCAGCGTTCTCTAACCACAAACAAGGAAAAAGCAGGTACAGTGTTTAAAAATCTTGATTTGACGCAAATTTCTCCTTCGTCTTTTAACGTTTTCGAGCATTTCTGTCGATTTTTTTTCATATATTCATTTCCGGCTCATATACAACTTTCTAACCTATTTCCGACCCTAAATCACAGAAATGACGAGAAGACAGTCAACTGTTGTCCAATTATTGGTAAGTGAGTAAGCAAACTTTTTGAAAAATAATAATATGCCAGTGAAAGGGTTGTCGTCATATGAAAAGGTCTGTTATTATTATTGTAGTTTGGCTGTCTTGCCAAGACTTGTTTGGTCATACGGTGAAACTACAATTATATTCTTCTCTTGCTTTAGAAACGGAAGTAAGAACTGCGATTTGGCCTTATGAATTAATGAATAAAACGCCTCTGAAAGACACTCTTATCAATACTATGCGCGATGTTTTCTTAGGAAAAATAGAAATAAACAGCAAGCACCGTCTTATAAGACAAAGGAAGGGGAAACACCTATAAGCTCGAGCATAACGCTTGATTACGTCACGAGCGCAGATTGACAAAAGGACAATGAAAGGTCATTCATTTATTATTGTTTCCTATTTCTGCTTCACTGAAGGCGTGCTCGCTCAAGAAACGGATGGAAATGTGACGAAATTCGGAAGTCAATTAATTGCAGCCACTTACGCCAAGTTTATCGAGTCTGCAGGAGGGAGAATGGTGCCTATTTTGTATCCTTTATAAATCTGGCCCTCTCGTAATCATGTATTGGCTCAACCTCTTAAAGATGTGACTTAACTTGACATAACTTGCCTCTCTCCACCCGGGAGTATAAATGGATACCGGCGAATTATCAGGGTAACCTGATTGTAACCGAGGTCATGCAAGGAATCGAGAGATCCTTTCGAACACGAAGGAAGGAAATGCTGAAAAGCAATAAGAGGAATCCCCCGAAGGGGTCTTAATACGATACGCTCCGGAATGTTTATTTTTTTAAGATTATTTCAGATATAGCAGTTATTCATGGACATTTTCATAAGTCTCCCTCAGATTACTTACGAAAAGGTAGGCCTGTTTGGCCAAGTGCCTTTCGAGGCCGCTACTAAATGGCGAAACTTATTGTCATACCGTTTCCCTGTGTGTATAGTGTTTTTACGTTTCATTACGATATGAGCTCCACTTATATAGATAGAACATTCTATATGATTAGATAAAATGCTTTTTTTAAATCAGTAGCAGCATGACTACGCATAACATGATAAATAACGGAACATTCCGGAATATTCTGGAACATGACCCTATAGGGAAAGAAGCGTTCCTTGTGAACGTTTTATATTTAAAAAAAAACTGGAATAAATTACAGCTGGATAGGACTCTTGGCTCAAATGCAAACTTTATCTTTTACTTATACCCATTTATTATGAGTCCATGAACCATGAGCCCATGAAATAATTTCCCCTGAAGGCCATGGTTGCTATTGTGCAAAAAAAAAAAAAAAATGGAGGAGTTGGGAAAAGAATATGGAAACCTTTCTCAAAGCTTTCTCCCTACAAAACCGACAACATCTCTTTAAATTCACAGAGGTTTCCATGTTTGATTTTCTTGTGGTCGTGTTGTCGGCTTGTTCAGGGGCGTTACACGTCAGTATGCTTAACCGGGGAGACTTTCTGTAGTCTTTATAACATTCCCAGCGATTTGTTGTAAATGTGTGATTCTTAACCCTTAAATCAACATCCTGCAGCATTAACTCCACTGCTAAAGAAATTGAAAAATTATTTTATTCAATTAATGGGTAAGTAGAACGACAGTCAAAGCCGACCTCAAAAGATGGAACCGGCAAAATTCTTTACTATTAAGGTATTCTTTACGGTTATAATAGAAAGACCGGAAACGTGGTATGGTGTTAACGTCGATTAAGACTATCATTTGTCACAATGTTCGCTCTCGCTTGTTTCAAGGGCGTAGGCGAAATTAAGAGAAGGGGGGAGGGTCTGCTTACAGCTTGCGCCACTTTCTGAAATAATTAGGGTTTTTATCATTATAGTTTTATTATTTTGAGGTCTACAAAATTCACGTTTTATGAATCAGATTTGCAAAAACGTGAAAATCCTAAGGGTCTTTGTGGCGCAACTTTTCTCCAGTGTCAGATACCCCATTTGCTGGTCCCTCTCACTGCTTAAATATCAGTCCACTGATACACAATATAGACCCGCGTTATAAGCCACCTCATGTAAGACACTCGGAAATTCATACCTGGGATACCTCCCTTTGAAAAACCCTTGCTATTGCGCTACGAACCTATACTGCCTCATTCCCGCTCACACCCCCTTCACCGGGCCACTTCTCATCATGCATTTCATTTGTTCCTCATTCTCGACTTATTTTACTTTCGCTACTTTTCCTTGTCTATGACTTTTACGTATTTTAGTGCCATATATCCCGGAGGTCATAGGTTATTACACCACACAAACTACACACGAGTAGGGAAACAGATATTAGAGCTGGCAATGAAGGTAAAGTTTCAAAACCAAATAAATTAACTTCTACGGTGATTTAGTGTTATCAACTGAGTTGATAGCGTAAATCGGCCATCGTAAAGAGTTTAAGAGCTTTTCAACTATTTACGGTGGCCGATTTACGTTATCAACTCAACTGATAATGCTAAATTACCCTGTTATACTCTCCCACTGACGCAGCACCAAAGTTTCTTCAAAAACTTACCCTCTTTATTCAGTAAACTTCCACAATTGCTTTCAATAAGTTATCTCGCGCTGAAGTATGTCACTTGTAGATCAGTTTAGGTACCCTAATCTCCTTCAGTGAGAGTGATTAGTTATTTATCATATTTATCAAGCAGTAGTTTTTGGAAGGAAGAAGCCTTAAAGATATGTCAGTGAAATGCAGCCATTTATCATCACCAAGCTGAATGGAATGAACAAAAAAATGCTACTTTGCGAAAACGCAAATTAACCTGTCAATTAAAGAACTAAATTGTGTCCCTGAACCACTAAGAATGGCAGCCTATGATTTATATTTAGGCACTTTTGTTGGAATCTACCCAAATTCATCTTAAAGCAAATTCTCTCAGTACTAAATTAATACTATTATATTCCTGTTATTATTATTGTTATTGTTATTATTATTATTATTATCATTATTATTATATTCATCACTATTATTATTGTCATCTAATGATTAAAATACACGATCCAAATTTATCATTTATCATGAAAAAGAACCAAATGGTAAACAATTGCCAAGAATACCTCATCTAATTAATAATGATAAAATTATTATTATTATCTTTTTCTGTCGTTACTGATGATGGTTATTTTTGGATCTACTCGCTCTCCGACCATCTGTACCAAGTTAATTACAAAAGGATCCCAATTGGCTGATGGGTTTTACGGTAGTGGTTTAAATTTTGGCATTTTAATGACTAACGGTTATCACAAAATGACACAAAATGACACATTATAAGAGAGTAAAATATTTTTACGGTTAACTTTTCTCACGACTAACAGTTAAAATTTATCAGTTTTTACGCATAAAGTTTAGATTTTATGACCGTTTCACGGCTAACGATGAACTCCATGGAGACCCTCTCAGAAAGTGAACAGCTTTTTATTACGAAATCTTGTGCAACATTATGCGCGAGTTATGATTTGAATTTTCAAATTGAACCTTTTTATTTGCACTACGCTGCAGACCGGCCTGTCCGCCCTTCACGTAGCTGCCCAGTATGGTCAGATTGAAGTAGTCAGAGAAATGATAATATGACAGAGAAATATTTTTACAAAGAGCAACGATTTTATTACAAAGTACTTCAGGACAGAGGTAGACATGCAAACCCTTACAGGAAATTCAATTTCGCTGTCATTTCAGAAAAAATGTCATTCCAATATCGTTACACACAGATTTCTTTTCCCCATTGCAGGCTTATGATAAAGGCGATATCTTTCCGATCTGGGGAGAATGTCTGGGCTTAGAGTTGCTTTCAATGCTGGTTGCTGGGAGAGATTTACGAGTGGGGCAACTGGACCACGAATTTTTCAGCGAAGTCGATGCAAAAAATGTCAGCCTGAAATTAATTCTTCCAAGAAGTTGGTGATGCATCTGTTTTATTATTTATACTAACGATCATGTAGCCAATTAGTATTTCAACTCTGTTATAGCAGTACCGCCACTGTTTTTGTTTAGTTTTGGTGGATAACGCTTACCTGTAAGATGGATTCAGGTGATGCAATAACATCTTTAGAAAAGAATTCCAAAGACATTCCGAAATTTTAGTTTGTATTATCTATTTAGTTTAGATGGATGACTGAGCACTGGACATTGGCCCGATGTTACAGGGATCTTCAAACTGTACAGTTTATCAAGAGGTTCTTCATGGGGTCAACCTTTGGCCGTAAAGCAGCAAAAAAAATTACAGTCAGCCATAAAATGGCAGGAATCTTAACTATTAGCCGTAAAGGCCATCACCCTTTTATCAAAACATTCGATAGATTAAATTCGCAGCAAAGGGGCACTTGAATCGGAAGATCACAGTTCGGTTTAAGCTGTCAAATAGACACAGATGTGACCCTCTACTGATACAAATCATTTTCGTTTTGCAGATTATAAAACGACTTCTCTATGGAAATTTGCTCCAAGACACGTTGTGAAATTCTTACAGAATAACAATGCAGCATACAACAATCACAGGAAGGCCATCACACTACAGGTTAGATGAAATTTTATTTCTTCTATCCTTGACGGAGGAATCTAAGTTATTATTATTATTATTATTATTATTATTATTGTCATCATATTATCGATTTCTATTTTGGCACAATTCATTGCGACAGTTTTAAGGGAACAGTCCGTTTATTTTTTGCTTGGTGTTAGAGGGGGGTTTTGGGATGGATCACATGGTTTTCAGGGGGTACGGAACGGGGATCAGTCATTGCCAATTGCAACATAGCACAATGGGGAACTATAGAAAATTAACTGCACAATAATTGCTAATAAGGAGGAGCATAAGAATATTACAGTCAGCTTTAGGATGAGGAAATAAGGTAAATTTCATTGTGACATCATCCAGTCCTTCCCCTCCTCCCCCCTCCCCCTGACAACAAATAACAACCGGTCCCTGAACCTAGACAATTATCGTTTTTTTTATTTTGAGATCTTTCCAACAAGTTTTTTGGTGTTGGTGATTTTGTAGATGCGAAAATAAGGACAATAAAAAGAGAGAAGAACAGTATTGAGAAGTTTTAGCATCCATTACAGGACCTCCATGCTAAAGAACAACACCCACTAAACAGGGAGAGAGTTAACCTTAGCCTTGTGATTTAACCCTTAATCTAACCCCCTTAGAGTGACCAGCATCTGATTTCTCCTTACAGTACAACCCCTGAATCAAACATTGAGGTCACGAGAATAAAGGAAATGATCACCAACTTAAGAAGCTGTTGATTGTAAAACAAATTCTCCTCGACAGCACCTGAAGAAATGTATAGAGAACAGTGAGGAGAATATGCATACTAATGATAAGGTGTAAAGGGTTATTAAGTCTTTACGCCCTCACTTGTTTCAGATTATACATTGACCCATACTACTCTGTTCTTTTGCGCCAGAATTATGGCAAGTACAGACGTCTAAATGCTTTTTTCAGAATCGTTTCAACCAGCAAAGATCGCAACGGGGTTGAATTTATTTCAACTATGGAAGGTAAGAACAAAAAGTATAAGGAATCTTAAAAAACAAACCCAAATATCATAAGCTTCGTCTGGCTTCCTCGCTACAATAGTTGACTCTTTTCAAGTTACAGTTTGTTCTGAAAAAATTATCAGTTCTAAATTTCTTACTTGTAATGTTTTTGTGCAAATAGAAAAGATAAATAGGAAGAATTCTTTTATCATATACTTTTGTGATGGCAAGAGTCTAATTGTATTATTTACAGGTAAGCGTTATCCCGTCTACCTTTTCCACTGGCACCCGGCTAAATCCCAGTTTGAATGGCGCAGAGATCTGGACATTAATCACTCGCTGGCCGATGTTCTTTCAGGCCAGTATTTTGCAAATTTCCTAATTCAAAAAGGTGAGCTTGGAAAAAGATTTTAGTTCCTCTTCCATAACAAAAAATAGCTGTAACTGATAGCAGATAATTTTTGTAATGATATTCCAGTGCCATTATTGTTATAATGATCCGCTGACCGAAAAAAAATCTCAGTAATCAAATTACACAAAACTAGTGGATCAAAATGCAGAGACGGAACTAGAAAAAAATAACAGAAACTCAGGCAACGATCTCTTCTATTCAAAGCACGTGATTCAAGGCGAAAAAATGCTTCCCTACATACGGGGGATCAGAGTCAAAACAACACGTCACACAACATGTCACAACCAACGATGAACAACACCTGAACTTTTTGTTATATTTTGCTTGTTTTGCCTAAAAATTGAATTGAATTGGAATCATTGTTTATTTCCTATAGTGTGATCGGTTAATTTTGTTTAAGTGATCCTGGTAACAGCAGTGAACTTATGAGAGTGCTGCGATCTAGACATGTTCTATTCTGAGCTTGTAGTATCATGGAAGAAGATACTTTATTCATTAACCCTTTAACTCCCTTTGGTGACCAGGACAGAATTTCTCCTTACACTACCAATACAATATCAAGCAGACAAGTGATGAGAATAAAGAAAATATCAATTAGAGGATGATTAGTTGATCCAATACCAAATTCCCTAAACTAGCATCATAAGAATCGTATGGCAAACAGCAAGACAAATTACTAATAATGAAATCTAGGGAGGGAAAAGGTTAATTATAACAACAATAGTTGTAATGATAGTAATTCCTCTCTGTTGTCGGCAGCGCGCTTCAACACTCATCGATTCTCCAGAGCAGAGGAAGAGAGGGCTTCTTTAATTTATAACTACAAACCAACTGCTGTACAAGACTACTTGCCTTTTATACAAGCTTACTTTTTTTAAGGTCACTCAACGACGACCTGTAGAAATCCTGTATAGAAAAGATCACTTAAACGAACAACAGGCGAGTAAACCGAACGGCGGTAAAGGTTTTCACGATCGCCAATGGAAATTACCGCCAACAAAACCTTTTTCTATCTCTGTATTTTCCACACTAGTGAAACAATACTAACAACATACAGGGAATGTGAATTTATGAAAGGTCTAGTTTTTGTAATTATTCATCTTTCTATGCCCTAATTATGGCTGAAATGACTATTGTAAAAGTAAGTTTATTATCCTTTTAAATCAAACTATAAAAACAACAAATCTGCGTGCGTGCGTTTCGTGGTCGTTTCTATCGGAAAGGGGGGAGGTGTGGGAGGGGCTAGAGCATCAGGTTTGTCGTTAAGATTCATCTCAGTTGAATTTAAGTCAGATTAAGCTGAAACATTCAATGATATCAGTTAGGGATATATTTTAGTGCATCACCTTCGTCCACCTAACTCTTCAATGGTTATTTCTGAATCCTCATTGAGATATCCTCCAATGGGAATAAGCGATTTAAGAGCTAATGTCGTCATGCATCAGACAAACAGCGGCAAGTCCCCAAAATTCGTTTTCTCTCCTACTTTCATATTCTGTAGCCCAATATGTCCTAATAATTGTGGTGTAGTTTTTTGGTGAAAATATATTTTAGTTTTCGAGAAATGATCTTTTTCGTTCGACCGCTCAAATATGCAAATTTTCACCGTGAATATTACCCGAGTTGTGTGACCTCATGTAACGAATTTACTTGACCTCCGATATTTCTGTCAGCATAATCCTTTGTTTTAGTAGTAGGGGAGAAAACGAATTTTGGGCGACTTGCCACAATATTTCAAATTTGTTCGATGGATGCTGACATCCTCTCTTAAAAAAAAGGGACATATGCGGGATTTTGTTTCAAACCGGGATCCTTTCTTATTTCTTAAACAGAAACAAACAAAATGGATCCAAATCTACCCTATTTATGATAGTGAAAGTTACCTTTTTAACCATATTTACAAAACTGCCTCGAAAGGTCCGCGAAGGTAGCGTAACACCCAATTTGCACAATTCCTCTGAGCATTAGACAGCTCACTCGAACTCCCCTGTATCCCGTGCTGTTTTACGCTTCCCTAAACAGTTCAAATACACGGAGTTCCATTGACTTAAACTCGTAAAAATTCAGCCTGATTTCCAAGAACTTTCTTGAATCTGGCCTTTCGGGAATCAAGTGTTTAAACTTGAACCCTGCAGAGTCGCTACGAATGTTGGGTCAAAATTCTTCCGAACTGAGGAACCAAGAAACAAAAGGATTCGTATTCTTTCCGATCAGTAAAATTCCATGACTTTGCAGGACTTTTTACAAGACTTTGTTGATGTTTTCCATACCCTTTTACCAAAAAGTTGCTTTCACGGATGGTACGCGATCATTGGATTGGGGCATTTCTTCGTTGCTGATTATTTTGGGAAAATCCGCAGGAAAACTTCCACGACTTTCTAGGTTAACGATAAGTTCATTAACCACTGTGACAATAGGTTTTCCAGCTGCAATATATTTTTAGGTTTCCTTACTTGAACGCTGTCAAATCGGGGGAAATAGCTCGGCGGGAACGGAAACTTGATATCATTTCCTGGCACACGGAGATCAACCTCAGTGGCGTTCTTACCGAGCTCAAGGAGACAAGGATTTTTAAAATAGTCAGCACTCGGTTCCAACATTAATTTATTGGGAATTTATCGTAATAAGTAATGGTAATCGGTCTGTAATCATACGAGTGATAACACTGAGGATTCCCTGTGAATGCGGCAAGGTGTACATCGGAGAGACTGGAATTAAGGAGCATGATCGAGACATCCGACTCGCCCGTACCGAGACCTCCGCCGTTTCAGAGCATGCCCACAACACCGGACACAAGCCACTCTGGAAGTAAAGTAAAGGAAGTAAAGTTTATTGATCGTGACCCTTATTACTACACGCGCAGGGTCAAAGAGGCAATTCATATAAGACTTCACCCTGACAACATCAACAGGGATAGTGGAATAGAAATTCTAGAAGCGTGGATGCCCACGATCAAAAAACACAACAACAGGAGAGCCGTGCGACAGCGGACCGCCGAGGGAGCAAATCACTGAGTGAAACAGCAAGGATCGAAATGCACCAATCAGAGCTGTTGAAAAACAACCAGTCACAGCAGAGCATCATGCTTTATAAGATCACGCATGACCAGTCGACCTCATCGCCTGAAGAAGAATAGCAGTATGCAGTCGAAACGTCGCGATCTACATCACACGTGACTACATCGTGAGACAAACGGAAAACTTAGCTTTTATTGTTATTCACCACGATGACTAACCACGGTCTTTTTTACGAAATTATTCCAAGAATATAATGTCCAAGTAAAGTAACAGGAAGATAACTTATTCGATTGATAAGAACTTATTGAAATTATCGCAAGGATATCTTTTCAGCTGCACGCCTATAATTATGAGTAGAAACACGGCTCGATAAAATTGAAAACGTAGGATGTTTGGCTACTAAATGAGCTAAGGCTACGATAGCATCGTCAAAGGAACAGTTTCCAAACAGTGTGCAGTTTGTGCTCGTTAATTGAAAAGCTGAACTACTGTTGGCTTTAAAACTTTTCTTTACAGCAAAGCTGTCTAAGGTTAAAAAAAAATTGCCAGATAGGAATTGCCTGTTGTTTGACAAAAAATAAAGAATATCCTGATTTAAATTTATAAAAAGAAGAGGACAGCCAATCGAAACAAGTCAAAACACGAACAAGTCTATTCCACCTATTCGGAAAGGTTTTGATGTCAAGAAACATGCTGAACACGGGCTGTTACGAACAATACTAATTCGAAATTTAATCTCGTGAGTTGTATTCAAATCTTCCGGTTATGTTACGAAATAATTCCTTTCATTGTCTCGTCTGGGAATCTCAGTAATTCAAGAAAATGACTTGTAACTAATTCTTACGATTTCTGTCCTCCTATTTCTCACTCCTTTTTTGTCTTTCGCTTTTTAGAGGATTTAACACTACTTTCAAACGAGCTTTGACTCAAGGCATCGATCCTATCGTTTATAACTGCAGCAAGACTATCTCCGCCTGCACGTTTCCGGGAACGGTAGTTAGTGGCAGGAACATGACACTCCTCGGCTTCCTGTAAAATGTCCTGACCCAAATAAACAGACTTCACGAGACTTTTGGTAGCTGGTACAGACGCATCATAAACACGCACAGGTCGTGGCTTTTTGACCCAAGTTATTGTAGCTAGTTGCCACGTCTACATTCTCAGGTCCTAGCTTTTTCTGGTCAATACTCAGAGCAAGTTCGTGATACTCCTTGGCCTTCTCAAAGTCGCCCAGTTGTTCGTGAACAGAACCCAAGTTATTGTAACTAGTTGCCACTTCTACATTCTCAGGTCCTAGCTTTTTCTGTCTAATACTCAGAGCAAGTTCGTGATACTCCTTGGCCTTCTCAAAGTCGCCCAGTTGTTCGTGCACCAGACCCAAGTTATTGTAACTAGTTGCCACTTGTACATTCTCAGGTCCTAGCTTTTTCTGGTAAATACTCAGAGCAAGTTCGTGATACTCCTTGGCCTTCTCAAAGTCGCCCAGTTGTTTGTGCACCAGACCCAAGTTATTGTAACTAGTTGCCACTTGTACATTCTCAGGTCCTAGCTTTTTCTGGTAAATACTCAGAGCAAGTTCGTGATACTCCTTGGCCTTCTCAAAGTCGCCCAGTTGTTCGTGCACCAGACCCAAGTTATTGTAACTAGTTGCCACTTGTACATTCTCAGGTCCTAGCTTTTTCTGTGTAATACTCAGAGCAAGTTCGTGATACTCCTTGGCCTTCTCAAAGTCGCCCAGTTTGTGGTGCACAGAACCCAAGTTATTGTAACTAGTTGCCACTGATACATTCTCAGGTCCTAGCTTTTTCTGTTTAATACTCAGAGCAAGTTGGTGATACTCCTTGGCCTTCTCAAAGTCGCCCAGTTGTTCGTGCACCAGACCCAAGTTATTGTAACTAGTTGCCACTTGTACATTCTCAGGTCCTAGCTTTTTCTGTCTAATACTCAGAGCAAGTTCGTGATACTCCTTGGCCTTCTCAAAGTCGCCCAGTTGTTTGTGCACCAGACCCAAGTTATTGTAACTAGTTGCCACTTGTACATTCTCAGGTCCTAGCTTTTTCTGTCTAATACTCAGAGCAAGTTCGTGATACTCCTTGGCCTTCTCAAAGTCGCCCAGTTTGGAGTGCACCAGACCCAAGTTATTGTAACTAGTTGCCACTTGTACATTCTCAGGTCCTAGCTTTTTCTGGGCAATACTCAGAGCAAGTTCATGATACTCCTTGGCCTTCTCAAAGTCGCCTAGTTCTTCATGAACAGAACCCAAGTTATTGTAACTAGTTGCCACTTGTACATTCTCAGGTCCTAGCTTTTTCTGGTAAATACTCAGAGCAAGTTCGTGATACTCCTTGGCCTTCTCAAAGTCGCCCAGTTGTTTGTGCACCAGACCCAAGTTATTGTAACTAGTTGCCACTTCTCAGTACATTCTCAGGTTTGAAGTGCACCAGTTATTGTAACTATTTGCCACTTCTACATTCTCAGGTCCTAGATTTTTCACATACTCAGAGCAAGTTCGTGATACTCCTTGGCCTTCTCAAAGTCGCCCAGTTTGTCGTGCACCAGACCCAAGTTATTGTAACTAGTTGCCACTTGTACATTCTCAGGTCCTAGCTTTTTCTTTTTAATACTCAGAGCAAGTTCGTGATACTCCTTGGCCTTCTCAAAGTCGCCCAGTTGTTCGTGCACCAGACCCAAGTTATTGTAACTAGTTGCCACTTGTACATTCTCAGGTCCTAGCTTTTTCTTTTTAATACTCAGAGCAAGTTCGTGATACTCCTTGGCCTTCTCAAAGTCGCCCAGTTTGTCGTGCACCAGACCCAAGTTATTGTAACTAGTTGCAACACTAGTGTGCTTTGGTCCAAACTTTTGGAGGAAAAATTGCAATGAAAATTCATAGAATTTCTTTGCGGCCTGAAAATGACAATGGTTCTCACATATCTTGCCGAGATTTTCCATTCCAGGCTGGAATATTTGAGGAAGGACAGCTTTCGAAAGTATGTTTTCAAAACTAAGAATGAAATTTTCCAAATGTAGGGCAAGGGCGCGGCTTTGCAAAAT